GACATCTGTGTTTTTAATAAATGGCAAAACTTTTTTTAAAAGTAGAGTAACATAATTTTCTTGTCACTTTTGAGCAGAAATATGTATGAGATTTTGTCTTTGCAATATTCAAGTTGCCTACCTTATACAATTACATGCGCAGAAAAATTTGAATTTGCTCACACACACAAAGCCAATGATGTGCTTCAGAAATGGCTTCTATGTTCAGTCTGCCCACACTGTGCACATATTACATTTGTGGAGAGAAAAGCACATTGGTTGGATAAGAGGAAGGGCTGCTGACTCTCAGCTTCTCAGAGGGACTAACCTGTAATGCACATGCACGAATGAGATCGGGCAAGAAGAAAGCCTGAGATGGAAGCCAAAAGGGAAATGTGCCCACCAGCCTTATGGGATTCTGAGCAGAAAAAGTCTGAGGGGTTTGCAGCACTTACACAGATGGTATCTCTTTGTGTTGTTCTTTTTGAGAACAAATTGGGATGGTTGTGCTTATAATTAGGCAACTGTGGCTGTACTGTTTTTGCATGTAAATAATTGCAGGTGCAAAAATTATAAATGCAGAGTAGAGTCATAACCAATGGTTCTTTACAAATTAACCACCAATGCCTTGTCAAAGTTTCACTGTTTACATAGTAGTTCTATTTGCTGACACAGTATATGTATTTCACGGCACCATGGCTGAGAATAATGAATTGACTTTCCTTAGAGTATTAATTGTCTGTGGTTTTATCCTGAGTCACACTTATTCTTCTCCCTCCTCCCCACAGATGACCTCAGGCACGCTCATGGTTTTAAATGATATCTCTAAGCTAATGACTCCCAGAACGACACATCACCTACCAATCAACTGCCCAAGTTGAAAACTTTGTAATCATCATTGTCTTCACTTCCTCCTTGATTCTTGACATTTAGTTACTCCATACATCATGCTGATTTCTGCCCATTTCTTGATTACACATGTTTTATTATGATGATCACCATGGTTAAGACTTTATCTGTTGCCTGAGCTACTGAAATAGTCTCTGATTTTGTAATATCTTTAGAAGCCATGGACATTTGTGTCTGTCTGGTGAAGTAAAAGAGTGATTCCTTCTTATAACATGCAAAATGAAGAAATAGGCACAAAATAAATACCTTAAGTCATAAATGCATAACAATCAATAAATGAATAAAAATTTGTAATGAATTATAAAGAAAATGAATTGAACAGACTGAATTTGTTTTAAACATATAATGAAATGTTACTCAGCCATAAAAAGGAAAGAAATCTAGTCACATGCTACAAAACAGTGAAACCTTGAGAAGGTTATGCTAAAGGGAATGAGCCAGTCACAGAAAACCCAAATATTGTGTAGTTCTGCTCTTCTTAAGTAACAAAGGTAGTAAAATTTAAAGAAGATAGGATGGTGGTTTCTAGGGCTGAAAGTGGGGGTGAATGGAGAGCTGCTGTTAAATACATATACAGTTTCACTTTTACAAGATTGAAAAGTTCTGGAGGGGTGTTGCACAACAATGTGAACTACTTGCCATCGCTGAACATACATTTAAAAATGTGGTGGGAAATTTCATGTTATATGAGGTTCTTTGCCATGATTACGAAGAAATACATGAATAGTGTTTAAGATGGCTTTGACAGCTGCAAGATAACATGAGTGTGTCTCTGGTTTCTGTTGGTTAGAACATCACTGGCGCTGCTGATACTACTCCGCCTTGGTCTCTGTGTTTGTAATTGATGAAAATCATTAATTTTGATAAGAGATTAATGAGAATAATAATGCAGTGTTTTCTTATTCAAGTTCAATGACCTTCTAAATTCTATCCGTAACCTCTTTAGGAGACCAAGTTCTCCATGTATTTAATTCCCTTTCTTGCATCCAGTCCTGACAAATTCACCTGACAAAATGTCTGTAAGAGCTCTATTTAATGGAATATGACCACGACCCTGTCTAGAAACCTTGCCACTATAAGTGACTAATATAGGATCAAGTCTAAACAAACCCAAATGGCTTGGAGTTTTCAGCAAATTCCCACCTAGTACTCAGCTCTGTGGATTGAACTCTTACAATGTCTTTGTTCGTACAACCCTTCCTGTTCTGTTGAACAGGTTAAATTTTAATCATATTTTAAGACATTTGTCAAGGGTCAGCTTCTCTAAGAAGTGTTCTCTTCTTCAGACTTATGTAACTTTTCCCATCAGTACCAGAGATAAAACTTGGCATTCTGTGTTACGTTTTCAAATGGAAACTTCTTGTGGACAAGAGCCAGTTTATCATTCTGTCCTCTGTTGTAGCACATAATACATGGATACTAGATATTACTGAATGAATAGACCAATAAATAAAATAGATAAGTGCATGTCTTTGCTTATGTGAGCTGTTCTTCAGAATACCTAAGACTGGATGATTTATAAAGCACATACATTTATTTCCTCACAGTTCTGGAAGCAGGGAAGCCCAATATCAATTGACCTGGCATCTGGTCTGGTGTATAAGGGGGGCTGGTCTCTGAGTCCAAGAAGCTTCCTTGAATGCTGCATTCTCTGGAGGGCAGAAGAGAGTGAAGCTCCTAACAGCCCCTTTCAGCAGCAGTGAGCCATTCATGACTTAAACACTATTGCATTGGGGATTAAGTTTCAACATGAGTTTTGGAGCAATAAAAAAGCATTCAAACCATAGCAATTTATAAAAAGGCAAATCAAATTAATCTAAGTTATATTTTTTCTATTCATTTATGTACAAATGAATGAATGTGTAATAAAAATGACAATCCAGAAACAGGTAGCTGATCTACTTTTAGTCCTTTTCAGGTAAAGATGGCAACATGTATGTGCTTAAATAAATTCATACTTATACAAATTATACTACTTATATTATATTACATTTATGTTCTATTTATACTTATAATAATTATAAGATAAAATATACAGAAGGTACCAAAATGTATACATATTTTAAAAAATAAATTTACATATATTAAAATTGTAACAATACATAATGATGACAAAGACAAATACAAGTCACACTGAGTGTCTCTGGTGATTGCAGAAGTCAAATGTGACCTGGTTATTACAAACTTATACATTTTTTTTCTTTCTTAAATGTATATACAATTTTTGGCACCCTCTATCTACCTACTTTTCTTTTAATGTTTTAGTAAGGAGATATTAGTTTTTGTAATAGTTATGAATGTCTACAAATCACACACGGGAAATTGCATAAGGCATTTATGAATGGTTTTTCTTAAGCAATCTTTGGCTACATATCTCTTAAAGTACTTTTTCTGTACAATATGAATTCTTCATACAAAGAATCCAAACAAGTTTTAAAGGGGAATCTGGGTTTTTATTAACATTTTTGGGGGGGATGATTGAAACAATAAAGTAGAAGTCTGAGGTATCTATAAAAGTAATTATAATTGATTTAAAAACATATAATTTATAACCAAGTTGTATTTCCCAAAATAGACATGAGGTATTTCATTCTTTCAAATTTTCAGGAGGGCGACAGAGAGCTCTCACCCTCCTGAAGAGATCATTTTTCTCACACAACCCTAGCAGGACTTACTATCTAACATTCTAACATTCTTGGCTGGAAGCATCACAAGGGCATATTCAGGCTTGGCGTCTATAGCTCAACCGGCTGAGGCGCCAGCCACGTACACCTAAGGTGGCGGGTTCAAATCCCCAGCCCGGACCCGCCAAACAACAATGATGGCTGCAACCAAAAAATAGCCGGGCGTTGTGGCGGGCGCCTGTGGTCCCAGCTGCTTGGGAGGCGGAGGCAGGAGACTCGCTTGAGCCCAGGAGTTGGAGGTTGCTGTGAGCTGTAATGCCACGGCACTCTACCCAGGGGGACAGCTTGAGGCACTGTCTCAAAAAAAAAAAAAAACCAAGGGCATATTCAATAAACTAACCCTTCACAGTGAAAAAAATTACATAGTGAATATGTTATTTACTTGAAGCATTGTAATAATGACCCCATTATCACAAGAATATCAAAATGAAATAAATGTTTCCCTCTGGAAAT